CACACACACACACACACACACACACACACACATATATATATATATATATATATATATATATATATATATAATAACCACTTCTATGAAACAATGTACTGTGATGCCACTATTTCCGGGACACAAACGACTGTACCTAGAAGGTCTCGCCGCTGTGTCAGCACACAAGACTTACCGCATACTCGTCTTTCAAATGCTGTGTCTAATCGCCAATAATTTTCAAACTTTCAAGTGAATTGAATGATGGAAAGGTTGACAACCCTTCCGTTTATTATCCCATTCATCCTAGTAGGGCTCTATGTGGCTAGTAACTTTAATCCCTTAGTACGTTACTGTCACTTAAGGTGTGTGAACATAAACCGGTGCCATGAATGAGAATCTATGAAAAATATTGGGAATACAGGTATCGAGCGAACTCGTGCGACACCCCGACCTTCGTCAGCTCCCCCCGCCCCGCAACAGAGTACTTTGAGCCTCAATCACATGTATGATATAGGTGAATTAAACGGAGAAATGAGTAGACGAATATAGTTATGAAACCTTAGACCGCTCTATTCGGTTGAGTTGACGGTGATGAGCAATGTGTTTGGGATCTGCAGGATCGCCCTTGTCGACTGAGCAAAAGAGCCGCGGACTTGGGTCGCTCAAACAATGTAGGTCATTTCCCGCTCTAAAACTAAACGGCCAGGAATTAGTAACCGTAGATTGCTTTTCCTACTTAGGTAGTTGCGTGAGCAATGACGCTGTACAGCAAAGAGATAGCCGCCCGCATTTCCAAGGCTCGAACAGCATACGCAGGATTGAAACACCTTTGGCGTAGACGCGACGTTTCACCAAAGCTGAAAGGTCGTGTATATTGTGCTAGCGTTCATTCAGTTCTGCTTTATGGTTGTGAGACCTTGAATTTGCAAGTAGAAGATATTCGTCGACTAGAGGTTTTCGGTTATCGGTGTTTACGCAGTTTAGTCCACGTTGGATGGAGCGAACGGGTTAGTAGCATGGAGGTAAGCCGTCGTGTGTTTGGGAGTCTATCAGGTATAAACCTGTTAGCACACCGAATTCAGATTACTAGGCTTCGCTGGCTAGAGCACGTATTGCGTATGCCCAGCCATCGTCTGCCGCGCCGCGCTTTATTCGCTGTAGCTAATCCGGGCTGGAGGAAACCACGTGTAGGTCAACAGATGACGTGGAGATGAGGCATGAAGAATAGCACAGAGCCATTAGGTAGAGTAGGTGTCTCGCGCCTTCCAGGTTGGTGTCCGACAGATTCCACAGCTGGTTGGTTGGAGACATTGAAGGATATGGCAGCGAATCGACAGAACTGGCGCTTTGTTGTTATTTCTTATCAAACCAGAACGCTTGAAAGGGTATGAATGGAGAGTTCGATTGTGCACTCTGTGTGTTGACCATAGTGGTTCATCTTCTTCTTCCCTCCTCAAAGTTGGTCCAATCCCTGTCCACCTAAATCTAACCACTAACCTTATATGCACTGCGAGTTTGGCAGCGATCAGCGAGGTTCGCCTCACGGTGTTTCGCTGAACGATGTTGATGTGAGGCGCGTCAGTTTAAAGTACTCACGCGTACTTCACACCCCTACTTAGAAGTGATTGATTGAAGTACTGAACGTTTTTCTGACGCGTTCTTCAAACGCGCCCATGCCTCAGGGATGTCTTCAGCCCCAGATTCGGATTATTTTCATTCTGCCCTACGTTGCATATTGTTCTGTAACATTCCGAGAGTTAGTTTAAAAAACTTCAAGCTAATCCATCATGGGTTAGTCATTATAAGTTGCTTTTCAACAACTCCATCAAGTATTCAATCGCTTGGTCCTTGAGAGGTTCATATTAAATGACGTGTTCCCTTTGCTGGTAAAATTATTTTTGATTAAAAAAATCTTTCGGGATGTCGCTTTTATTAGTCAACCTGACAAGCTTATTATCAAGTAAATTTTTCATTTTCATTTTTACCTCCTATTGAATGTACAAAGATACAATTTTCAGGAAGGGGGAAGCGGTCCATTAAAGGGCTGTCATACCACGCATAACGAGAAAAATCGGGCGGTTGTGGTGGAAATGGAACACACGGTCTCCCAGGATGATAATTCGGTGACGTTACCACCGAGTCATCCTAACCTTTATTATCTCGCACACAATACCGACTAGGATAGGGGACTGAGGGGACTTTGAACTAACCCAGAACCCGCAGCCCAAAAGTGCTATAGTGAAAGGTTAACCGTGGTTGGGTGTCTCCATAAAAAAAGTGCAGAGAACGATATACGGCTCCAGTGGGACGGATAGGGTACTGAACTGAAAAAAGTGAACCTATCACTTGCAAAGATATGCGATGAAAGCTTGATATTCTGAAAGAAACAGAACGTCGATATAGAGTAGACTATCTTACCTCAAACCAAGATAGTGTGGCGGACAATTTGACAATATTCCATCCGGACTCAGTCATCTCTTCGCCCTCCCGAACTCGATAGTCATAGGTGTAGGCCAGTAGTAAATCTAGGAGCCCCAGATACAGTGAAACCGTTTCTCGAGTATCTGTAGAAACTAGGGGAAGCCTCCGAGTACTGAGTGTGATTAGCCGGTGCCGCTGCTCATCCGTCAGTTCAGGTCCATTACTCCCGTTGGTATCATGCCACGGTACACGTAACTCTAGCATTGACTTCCAACAATCCTGCTCAAACAAATCTGCCCTGAGATGAGAAAATGCAGTTGTGATGAGCCATATAACGAATATTATATTTGACACATGCTGCACAAAATTCGGGAAGATTATTAGTTTACCATTGTTTCATAGAGAGGCGCAAGCAAGAAACCAGTTGTAGATGTTTGACTTACAAATAGTGAACCGGACAGAATTTCCGATTTTCAGCACTAATTCGCAATTTTGACCGATGTTCTTGTTTACAGTGGTCAGGATTTGGAAGATCCACCACATGGGTCAAGTCGGACTGCACCAGTGGGGGGAGGGTAAAAGAAGAACAGAATTCTGGTATTAGTAGATTTAACTGTCAGTTTTAGATCGTACGGAAACCAAACGATCACCACATTAACTAAAAATGGTTTTTCGAAGGAGTTTGTTTCGCAAGAAAAAGTATTACTTTATGAGGATGAGTATTGAAAACAATTTTGCTCGTACATTCAGGATCAAACACTGCTGTTCGCTCTGGGGAAGTAAGTTCGGAAGACAGCGAAAAACGTGGACGGAACACTGATGCAAATTGTTAGCATCCACCTACATTCTGTTCATGAGCGCCATTCCACCAGGGTGTCTAAGCCAAATATGATTTGCTTATATTCACAATAACAATCTTTAGTTAGTCAAAGATTTATCTACAACGTAACAAGAGAGTATGAAGGTCACCGTCCGCTGTGGGGTCTGATCAGATGCCTTTGGATGTATAATAGTCCAGGGGTGCTGTCATGTTCTGAATACGAGATGACAACAATCGGTAGTTGCTCGAGAGAGAGAAGACTGAGAGCTCGGAGATGTAAGGCTTTATTCGTCTAACAACTCTGGCATATAGGCTAAAACTTATAAAAGAGAAATGTTATGAATACAGCGATATGCAACAGACAAAGAGTGTTATACACGACAGGTGCCTTTTGTGATCAGGCAAACTCGAATCGAGTTTTTGGGCTTCTTCTTGAGGTTTAGAATCAAGTTAGACCCTAGTCACGTAGAGGAACTAGGTGTCCGTCATCGATCAATCTGGTTACAGCCCCGGATCTCAAGTTTTTGTCGTATAACTTCACTTAAGACTCTCGTCATGCAAAAGCGAAGAGTAGGACTTCCCCGAAAGGATCTTAGGATTCATTGTGAGAGCAATTCTTAGTGCGGAAACGAAACTTCACCCATTTTCAGAAGAACTGAAGAATATTGAGGGTTTAGTTGTAACAAAAGAAGGGGGTGTCGGTTCATCTTTGGTGCTTATTTTGGCTCAGATTCGTTGATGCAAGATTAGTTGCTCTACCTAACACGCAATCAAAGCCAGGTTGATGTGCTTCAGAAGTCGCCCCATCTGAATGGACCTGACTATCAGACCAAACCAGTGTGCGCTCACTAAGATGGCATCGACTTTGGTGGATTACGTCACCGTCGACGCAATACCAAATGGGGTGTCCTGGGAGGGGGAGGGGTGACGTTGGCTCGGGAGTTGATATACCATTGAAGTACCGTAACATAGTTCCCTGTGGTTTGAACAAGCATTGCTCAGGCATATATATCGACTCCCTCGTCGAGTGTAGTTTTAACTTCCTAACACGGTTGAAACATCATCGCAGAGATTAAAAAAATGCCAGGAAATGGGACATAGAGGTTTTAGCAAAACTATTGATCTTTCTGGATTAAATGTTCTGAATACCCTCGGGTTAGGCAGAGCTGAATGCTACCAGGCGCGTCCCCGGGTTGTGGATAGGGGGATGCCTTCACCGAAGGTTACTTGTGAATAAGTTGTAGCATACCGCAACAAATATGCAGTCACGAACAAGCAGAGGCAGTACTACCAGGGTGTGGTGGGTTTCAAGCTGGTCACCTGGCTCCTGTTTAAAAGCCACATAAGCCCAACGGTGTTGTGACAAAGGTCGATGTGACTGGCCTTTTAAAACTAGTCATTGACGCCCTCACTTCCGAGGAGAGGGGTTACTTCCTGCTGCCTTGCAGTTTGCACTTGGTTGTGCAAAGGCTAGAGGTGCACCCTCAAAATAAAAAACCGCCGAGTGACGCTGAGGACGTCTCTCGTATCAAACTCCCAAGGAACTTCATGATCATGATCATTATCACGTCTGGAGCCGGTTTATCCTTTCCAAGGAGCCAGCCGCAGTAAACTAAAAAGGTAGCAGTAAATGATAAGCAAAAACAAATAGAAGATCTAAAGGATGTCAAATAAAATTGAAAAAAGTGATTCCAATGATATGGGCTAACGCATCCAAGGGTCACCATTGCAGAAAAAAAAGAAAAGCTTTCGGTAAGAGTACAAAACTATCCCAACATTTAACACTGTTATTCTCAGTAAGACGCATATATTCACTTTTTTAATCTTTCTCTATATGATTATATCCCCAGTTTCCTGAAGAAAACAAACTAATTGTGAACATAAGCTGGGCGAGAGAAAAGGATAACCCAAGTGAAAAAATAATTACCTCAACTCTGAACAAGCCGGATTTGGATCCGGAAAATCCATAGGTGGGTGGTAATACCACGATTTCGTCAGACGTCCCCAAGTTACCGCTGCTGTCAATATCAAAATCGTACTTGGTTTCAGCAAACCAATCAAGGTTCTCGTCTGACTTCTGCACGACATCGCAATCTGCTTTACCAATTTCTTCGACCAAAATGCGTGAAGAACGATTAGCAGGATTCGCGTTGTTGATGAGTTTTACAATCAAATCGAGATCCTTGAAAACGCAATGCTCCTTCTTTTTCAATACTACTTGAATATCCCCGTCAATGAGTTCCATTCGGTAAGTTTCTTCTTCTGTGTGAACTGGTCCAGGTAACTCAAACCTAAATCGTGATACTGTGCATCGAAAATAGTACTTCTGCATTTACTTCAGGTAGTAAGGCGGTGCTGTGAAGAAGAAGATCTGTTCTTCAACACATACTTCTAATTCGGCAAGTTTTGCCATTGGTGCATGGATGACAACTGACAAAGTCGTTTCATCTTGATAAAGTCGAAAAATAGGCGTCAGCATATCTGGAACGGGAAACGAAAATGTGATTTAGAAAATAGTTTCTTTGACATCACATGTGTTAGGATAAAAAGAAAAGCTCAACCATTTTGGATATTCTCGCCAAAACAGAATCAGCGTTGGAAGTAGGAGAAACTTCATAGTTCTCATGACCATGGATAGTATAACAACAAATGATTTACAGTGAAAGGGGCAAACCCTATCGTATTTGTACTTGTTCAAAAGATCGCACTAGGTGTTAGCATGCATGAATGGACACCTTGGTTCACCGAAATACAACGGTGACTTCGCTACTTGTTGGCAAGCTATTAGTGTGCACACTCTGTGTGGATGAGAAGTTGATCAGTTCTAAGGAAGGGGAAAAAGTAAACATTATGGTCAACACAGAACAGTTCAACTATGCACGTACACCTCTTCAAGCGTTTTGCCTTCACAGGAAATAATATTAGGGACGCAACTGTTATCGAAGTGCTGTCGTCTCCTTCATTATATTCAACNATATATATATATATATATATATATATATATATTTGAGGACACTGTGTGCCAAGCAAATCGTGGTACAATATTTATAAAAAGGAAAAACGTTGCATGAGTTGCGTGGGCTGAATACAGCCAGGTTGCCCAGGTGAATTTTCTTGAGGAATCCACAACCAGAGCCTTCGGCTATCCAAAGCCTGATCCACAAGGCCGGTGTGTGAAAACCCCAGTCCATTGGAAGCATGTGTGCAGTTCATCGGATCATACACCCTTTGGACGGTGTCAAACGTCCAAGGTGCCCAATACACCCCGATGCCCAATCGAGCCTGTGACCACTGCCACAACCCGGAAGGCGTGTGGTTTGTACGTCTCCTCATGGTTGGTTTGGAATCAGGGTTTTTAGCCAACTCCCCTAGGTGAACTACCAGTGGTCCACCAACCTGGTTATAGCTCAGGATAGCGGCTTTTCACCCTCTCACGTTGGTGGGAAACACCTCCGCCAAGAGAAGGTAGTGAGTAGAGCTTCCTCAACCGAGGCTGTTTGAGACGCTTGGTCATATGGGAGCATTTCGTGAGACGCAAGGGAAGGGTGACCAGCCGCAACCCTAGACACCCACCCCCGACCATCCAACCAGCTACTCCATCAAGACGAGACGGCACCTTGACGTGGTGTGATGGCTTGTGCACCTACGTGACCCAACGAGCTACACAGGCTGGCTTTTCTCAAGCCAGATCTTATCACGCCTGGAAGGTCAATGGGTACAGGTCAGACGAAGTTCAATCTCCTGGTCCTCCAGATTGGGGGTTCGACATGAGTCGGCGTCTCAATCGGTAAAGCGAGTTGGAGGAATGATTGATCCAAGTTAATGGGCCTCCAATCCGCCCTAACCGCCGCCTTGCGGTTAGGTTCTCATCAGGCTATGGCTGAGAACCCTGATTGTTCTCCTGCTTAATGGCTGGACACCCTAGCAGTACCCGTCCATAAAGCTCCAATGAACACAAACTAAAAATAACTTCATACGGTATCGGTCGGCGCGCAGGATAGTCAGGACCGTGCTGCTCATTGTATCGATCGGGGTGGGTAGTGATAATTGGGCTGCTACTCAGATATCCCATCCTTTATTTAGCTCTTTGTCTTTCGTCCCCCACTCTCTCCCTTTACCCCTTCTTCCGACCCGTAACATTCCTCCAGACAAGTTGGCCGTCTCCTGCCAAAGGTCATTGTCAAATAGTGCTATAAATAGTTTTTCTGCAGATTAAGTGCAGATTCTGAAGCTTCGTCAACCTATCAATCTGGGGGCTTTCAACGCGAGGATTCTTATGCAGATGAGTCAACACGCGTGTCTTGCGCGTACAATGAAGTCTCTAGAAATCGATGTCTGTTGCGTATCGGAGACATGATTTCAGGATCCTAGTATTATAAGCCACCTGAGTACACCGGGTCTGTCCTCGAGGTATTTCCTTCGCAAATCAGGAGACGACGAAGCCCGCTCACTGGGTTAGCGTGATGTAGGAATCGCACCAAAGATAAAACGGAAGCTTCTATGATGGATTGGATACCCGTCAATAATCGTTTGTGCACAATGAGGCTCCAAGATTCAGTTNATTCGGAAGGGTAGCAACACCAAAAGGTGTTAGTTCATCATTTCCGCGTATGCACCAACCAACTGCAGTTGCTTCAAAAAACGACGAATTTTACGACAAACTCGCGAAACTCATTCGGTTGAGCCACAAATCTGATATTATAGTGCTGGCAGGTGATTTTAACGCGCAGGTTGGAAAACTGAGCGCATCGGAAGCCTGTCTAGGACACTTCGCCCTCCCCGCCTAGCGAACAGACAACAGTGATCGACTACTTCAGTTCTGCACGGATCACCGGCTGTTCTTATCCAGTACCAACTTTCGACACAGCGGATATTGAAACACGGATCCTCACCGCAAAAAGTCGTCTCTTCAGAAAGTGCTCCACCCAAGTGAGTATTGGATTTACCACTTCGAAGCTTTTCAACTTCAAAAGCAGTCTGTCGTGTAGAACTTTGTCGAAGGCTTTGCTGAAGTCGACATAGACAATGTCCGTCACAGACCCACTGGCTTTGGCGGCACACCATTCCTCTCTGACCAGAAGGTTTGAAGTGTAGGATCTCATCGAGCGAAAACCATGCTGTTGGTGGCACAGCAGTTGACACTCCGTCAGATGGCGATGCAATCTGCTAGAGGTCAAGCTCTCCATCACTCTGCAAGAGATGCAAGTCAGACTGACGGGACGGTAATTCGCCAGATCTTGAACCACTCTTAAACAGAGGCGATATCAGTGCACTCTTCCAATCCTCTGGGAGCCGACCATATTTTAGGGAGCAATTGAACAGGGCTTAAAGGGGGGCAGATATCACAACCGCGAGCTCTTTCAACACCTTTGGATGGGGTCCATTAGGACCCGGGGATTGGTTGGTGTACAGGTTCTCCGGGTGACGTGCACTTCACGTGGGCTGAACTCCGGGAAAGCCAAAACGGGTGATTTAGGACCCTGAATGTGCATACCTTCAGGCAACGGCTCCTCTGACTCAAACTGATGTGTAATGCCTTGCG